CACACACACACACACACACACACACACACACACACATCTATGCTTGAATAAAAAATATTAATTTAATGTAACGATATATAGGAATGACACATAATATTATATAAAAGCCGTTTTTTTCCAGGTACATTTTCAACGCCACCTAATCATATAACAATGATGCAAATTGATTGCGAGGTAACTAATACGCAACTGCTACATTTACAACAATCCATTATACCTGTCCATTTACGAAACAATAAACCTACGAGTCAATCGAATCAATCTCATTCTGTTGAGGATATAGACAATCCATCTGCAGATAATATCACTAGAAATTACAAACCGTACTTTTTGAAAGAAGCAAACAGAAAACATCGGTATAGAAAACACTTTATGTAATAATTACATAAATAAAAAAAAATTAGAAATTTTAACATTTTGTGTAATAAGAATACGCATATAAGTATGTTCCTAGTCTTAATATGAAAAACATAAAGGATTAATTATGCGATATAAAGATAATATACTTGTTTATGCAATAATATAATTATATTATACTCTAGTTATATACATATATAGTAATATATAATTATACATTGAATCGTAATTATTTATATTTTCTTCATAATTAATTTTTTCAAATTTTTTCTATTTATCATTTTTGGAAGAAATGTTATGAAATCTTTATCGATACAAATGTATATTTTATTGTATATTTAAATTTTGGTAAAGATTTCATAACATTTCTTCCAAAAGTGGTAAACAGGAAATATCTGAAAAAGTTATATATAATTTATTTTTAAATTTGATATTTATTTGATAATGCACTGTGAGAATTTGATATCCTACTGCTATATTATTCCAAATTTTTATAAGTTTCTGTTTTACATTTTTTTATCTGTGATACAACATTTCATATAATAGTCTTCTACATCAAAATAGTGAAATTTTAAAAAATACACAACAAATTTATGATTTGTGATTCATCAATTTACTTGGTATTATTTTGGAAGTATAAAACAAATCTAAATGTAATGCAAATCAGTACAACTAATTTTAAAAAGTGTGCTTTTGCTAAATATTATAAATATTTCATTACAAATATTTAATGATTTTCAGGTATTTGTCAAATTTTAACAAATATTCAAAGTTATTGAATATAATTATCACAAAATTAAATGCTATAGCGCACTGTATTAATTATTGCTTTGAAATCATAAAATAATAAGTAAAATTGTAGGATCCAGATTAATTTTTATTATATATTTTTAAATAATAATTATAGAAAATAATATATTGTATATTTTCTAATTCTTATCTCTTAAATTAGTTCATAATATATAAAAATATATTAATCTTTTTTCTAATTATCCGATATAATTAAGCAATTAAGATCTTTATCATTAAATAATAAATTTTGAACTTTGATTTTTTTCTTTCAAAGTACATATATCGTTATTAATAGCACATATTGTTTATTTATTATAAAAAATAAATCAATTTTAAACTCTCAAGTTTTATTTTAATTTTTGCAAGTAGAGACCAAACAATTAATTTGCTCTATTTCTGCCCTCATTCTAATTATGTGTATGTATAGTATATATATCAGCAATGGTACTACAAAATAAATTGACCACATATATTAAATATATATATTATTTTTCTTCAAAAATTATATTATACAATATATTGTGTATAATAGTAAAAAATATGTTCATGCATGTTCATATAAGTAATTCAGTTATATATAATAGTAAAAAATATATGTATATACGTATATACATGCAATTCACTTCAAGTCTGGAGTAGAATTTCCCAGATAACATCGTAAATCTGTTAAAGTTGACTGAATTATTTTAGCTTTAATAGACGCTTTACCTAATCGTTGATGTGCAGTATAACGATGACAACCACCAAAAGAGTAATAATAGTCACCACCTATAAATATAATTAATAAATTTAATTATTTCTCCTAGAAACTTCATAGTAGTTTGATCTCATTTGTTTAAAAATTACAAAACTGGCACAATTATAATTCATAAATTTATTAAGAATGTAAAAACCATAGTGGTGTAAAAACTACTTTTCAGGCCGCTATACTTTGATAGCTTTACCTTCGCTTCCTTTGATCCACAAAATGTCGATGGGCGGTACTGTGTCCTCAGTTTCGACGTTTTTCAACGCATTCATTAAACTTTGGACCTTTTCCTCGTTCACATCGACAGGGAAAGGTCTGATAATTATGTCCATTGGAACATCGTGCACCTCTGCAAGAGGACTTGAATGAATCGAGCTGGCTATTTGGCATGCACCCCTACGTATCATTTTACTTAACGTTTGATAATCTCGCGATGATCTCACGTATGCGTCGATGTGCCAATGAATAGCGATTGACGAATCATTTTTGCTATTGCATCAGAAATTGAGAATACATTATATCAGTAATGCGCAACCTTTTTTAAAAATTATTTTCAGAGAACTATTTTCAGAAATAGTTTCAGAGAATTATTTTCAATGAATTTACAAATTTATTTTCAGAAATATAGATAAAATCTTGCAAGTCATATGATGTTTATTTTGTTTGGAATAGAAAATTCAAAATATTATATATTTTTTTATTTTGAGCCGTCACGACGAACCGCAAAAAATTCACAGGGCCGCAGGTTGCGTATTACTGTTACATAATCAAGGACAAATTAAAGAAATCTTCCATTGCCTTCCATCAATCTGATCGAATTGATCAATGGCAGAGACAAAAATCAAAATTGATATTTGTATGTGCAATGTGAACTGATAAGATATCTCTAACCTCGATACTATCCATGCTATCTCTAGGTTAGAAATTTTTTAATCAATCAATGGCCGCGTTCAGCAGACTCAACTGTGTGAAGCGGATCCGTGAGCGCTCGCTGCTATTGGATGATCTAGACGAATACACCAATAGCAGCGAGCGCTCACGGATCCGCTCCACACAGTTAAATCTGCTGTACGCGACCAATGGATACGATCATGTCTCGCGCCAAATTTTAAATTCTTCTTTATTCAGTAGAATTTTCCTCAAAAAGAACAAAAGTACAATACCGTACATATATATGTCTAAAAAGCGATTTTTTTTATTTCAATCACAAATTAAGAAATTATTATATATATTTGTGTATTTTGCTTATAATGTTGGTTTTTAAAGATACTAGTATTTTTTAATCTGCTTTTAGATTAGGATTGTATAATAAAATTGTAAGATAAGGTTTAAGGTTTTTACTTATTTTTTTTATATTTACATATTATCATAAAATAGAGAGAACATATTGATTACACATTTCTTAACAGTAATTGATTGCACTTTGTTATATTAATCCTATATATCAAAGTGTTGAGAAATAATAAGCACCTGATAATTCATCAAGCACTTGGACAGCTTTAGTAATCGTAGAAAAGAACAAATCTTAACGTTGCGAATTTACGTTATATAAATATAAATTACAAAGTCATTACATCTATGTACAAAATCTGTTTTAAAATTATTATAATTACATGTATTTATTATAACTATTTTCTAGAAAAATTAATGTACCTTTCATACAATACCTGTACGCTTATTTAGTTAAAATCACAGCATAATGCTGGAGATGTAAAAAGTATAATACAGCTGCAGATTTTTAAAAATAATATATCAATTTATATTCTTCTGAGAACTTTCTACCTTTTCAACATTGTACAAAATTTCCAACAATAGAATCCTATTTTACCTATACTCACTCCTTTACCATGAGTAATTATGCATTTGTTGGTACTGCAGCATTATAGTAATAATAGCGAATAATGATATAGCGCATCAATACAAAACTAAACATATATAAGCAAAAATCATTAAATATCATGGTGAATAACGCGAATGATACTTTAAATATATAAATTAATCTAGGTTTAACATTGCACAACATCAAAGCAATGACTAATAAACTATTGTCTTGTGCTTCGTATAATGTCATACAGCTGTATAAACGTCCCATCATCAATAATAAGTAAGGTATAATAACTGCCTGTGAATATATGAACAACATATATAAGTTATCAACATGAGTATTTCAATGAAATATAAGATAAGTTTGTATACACAAAATATTATATACCTGCCCAAATAAATAGTCGAGTTTCAGCACTAACAAAATATTGACAATTCCAGCTAGCAAGATAAAACTGATACGATTGAATAATAATGTGTATAACATAAATTCTGATTTAGATGCTTGTTCTGATGAATGTATATTCTTATTGCTGATGTCATTTAACAAATTTTCATGTCTGTTGTCAAATCTTGTGCAATTTTGCAATTTTGTGCCGCTACTGATATTGCATACACCATTTCTGATATTGTCCTCTTCAAAATTAGATTCTGCTTTAAGACTGTTGCTTTCCACTTGTGGATCATTATCTGCAAAATATTCTTAAACTATATCTGTCCAAATCAATTTATCTATACCTATTATATATTGAAAAAGTACTAGTAAATATACACAGAATTATATGTTTATCTTTTTCTACAACTTGATAATAGACAGAATGCTAACAGAAACATAGAAAAATTTATCAACAAAATATGTATGATGATGGCAAATTAAGAACAAAAATCAAGTAGAGTTAGATATATTTATTATATATAATTTAATGCTGATTAATAACAGAAATAAATTACACAAATTTTGTTCGATTTCTACTACCAAGCTGTTATTGGTTATGTTTACCTTTGATTTCCACCGGATTAACTCTCCCTGTAATTCTGCGTAGACGACTTTCCGAGTTTTCTAATATTCGCCGCCTTCTCGCCTCTCTCCTGGCGTTGATTTCAGCCATCGTCGTATTTCACACAATTGAAATTGAATACGACAATTTAATACGCGAATCCACGTGAGCCCTTTTGTAACGTGCACATCCAAAGTCCAAACTGCACGTTATTCAGGAAGGAAATATCCGAAGAAAATCAAGTGACATAAATTTCTGATTGTTTACGACACAATGACATGAAAAAAACGTGCTTTCATGGTTTCACTATTCTTCTCCTTCTTCTTGAAGGCAGATTTTTTTTCTATTGGTATCGGATATTTATAGGATTAAAAAGATAATTAAAGGTTAAATTAAATAGACCTATTCACTTTATCAGTTTTTAATTGCGTGATTTGTAAATAAGACTAATTCTCATGATCAAACTTCCATTTGAAGCGTGTATTCCAGTGATTTCCAAATATTCTAGACGAGATTTTGTTCTTCGGACTTATACATGCGTTACTCGAAATTTCCTAAAATTTTTGCACTTAAAATGAGATAAATATATATTCAGGCGTTGAAAAGAGAGAAAAACGAAGACGCTAAGTGCAATAAAAGTGCAACCAACGCAAACATTTTTTGTTGTTCAGGAAATACTTGTACACAGATTGTATTTATAAAATAAATATTATAATTTCTAATTAACAACAGGCGATATAATGTATTTAACTTCTTTTAACCCATGTCAGTGCATGTATGTATGTACTTCTTGAAAACATAGGTAAAGGAAGTTGAAAAAAATAAACAGATATTAGTGATTTCGATTAAACTTCGATTGATTTAATTAGCAATTAAATTATCGAATAATGTCTAGATTCTTAACATGGATAGAGTATGATATTAATTTTTTGACATGTGGAAATGTAAAGAAATTTAAAAAAATTGAATTAAGAATTTATAATTAGAAATTTTGTCGCAAAAAATTTTAGATATTTTCTTTCTGATTTCAGTAATTAAAGAAACAGTAAAGAATCGATACAGGGAATAGTGTTAGATATTAAGATTTGAATTGTCAAAAGGAAGAATATAAGAACGAATGTTTGATGATATAAGAAAGTGCAACTATATATATATTGCCGACTCGTTTTCTAGATGTCAATCTCCTTTTCCTTAAGATTCGTTTTCTAGACCTCCTTTTCATTAAGAATAAGAAATTACAAAAAATACAAGAAATCAGAAATAAAAAGTTAATTTCAATATATGAAAATCACTTCAGTTTTGACAAAAAAAAAAGTATAAAAAATTGAGTTAAAGTAGTTTCTCTTCTAACAAATTTTCTTATTCTATACATTTTTCTTTTCTTAATAAGAATAGAGAGATTAGAGACGTAATGGTTACGAATATAGGTGGCACGCTATATTTTTATTATTATATTATGCCATTTTATAAATGGAGATTGAAGAAGACATCCAAGTTTGCGCATTTCAGTCAAGTTAGGATTATAATGTGGATTGATGGACTTTGACAAAGATATTATTTAAACTGAAAAACAAATAAAAAAAAAATATATATATATAAAGTATATTAATTTTTTGTTACTATTTAGATTGAAACATATTAAGTATTTATAATTCAAAAAACATATAACATTGTTCATTCACACGCACATAAAAAATAGGAAGATAAAAAATAATGCATGTAATTTCAAGATAAATTTCACAATTCTTAAAATAATGATATAAATGTCCTTAGGCTGGGTTGTTCTACCTTTCAATAAACTTTAGCTCACTGTCATCTTCTCTTACTCCCTTATGCTTTTACTTTTTTACTCTTTTGTTTATCTAATAGGTAAATTACCATATAATTTATCTGAAGATGGAACAGCCAGTCCTTAATAATGTAAATATATGTATGTATAATATTGAATATAAATATAATGAATATATCAAATACAAATATATAATGAATGTATGTATCATTATAATATCAAATGCAAATATATAATGAATATATGTATGTATAATGTTGATAGCATAAATTATTGTACACGTCTGCTGCTGTCATCATCATAATAGTCATCTCATTTGGGTTAGTATAATTTCTATAAAAAAAGAAGAAACAAAGACAAGATGTTAGTATATACATTTAAAAAATGAAACAAAATTGATATAGATATATTTAGGAGATGTTAATTTCTATATATTATGTTAAATAAAAATAATTAATTAACAGAATAATCAAGGAATATTTTACACAGAAATGTAACGGGTTACATAAATTTATTACAGAAATAAACTATATCCTATTTATTACACGTTACAAAGTGCATAATGTATAAAAATAAAATACAAATTACTAATAGGTTTCGGTATACACAAACAACCTTTATTTATACATAAGATTTAAAACGCAAAATATTGATATTAAAATACCAACTGTGCCAATAAATGTGTATTCTCTTACCGTCTTCCAGTTTTCACTAGTCTCTTTTAAGACTATTAAAACTCTTTTCCATGCCGAGACAAAATATGTATATATCTGTGTATATATATGTGTATTTTGAGGTTGTACAACTGACTTTTTAACTTCGTTTATTGATGTATCCACTGCCATTTTCCTTGGACATTCCACTGTAGTTTGTGAAATATTTTTGTTATCATAAAGTACCATGCCTGTTGCAGATTCATGTCGTTGATCTGAATTATCGTTGAGATATAAATGTTTTATAATTTTACAAACTGATAAATATAATTTTTTCAAGTTAATACAATTTTTTTATTACCACTGTTAGTATCAGGATCTTTTCCAAATGTACAATGTGTAGTACTAGTGCCCCAACCTATTTTAATATTCTCTTTATTTTCAATTTTAACATTGGAGAAATTTGCAGCAATGGATTCAATAATAGGTATACTATATTGGTTGGGGCACTCTGAATCCTATTTTTCGTATTTATCTGTCTCGAGTTTAGGTTTAATATTGGATTTTACAATATTATAATGACCTGTTCGAATCATTTCTTCCTCCCATTTTTGCATTTCAATCTTATATTTTTTTAATAAATCACTTGCTTCTGCATTATATTTACTTTTATTTATCATTGTCATATTTTTCCATTCGTTAGTTATATCATTTATCCAATCCTAGAAATATAAAAAAAACTATTTTAATAAAAACTTAATAGTAATAGCAAACTTTAATAGCAAAAAACTCTAAAAAACTCTTGAAAATTTTAAATATCTTATTAGATTCATATTTTTATATACAAATAAAAAGAACTATGCAAAAAGGAGAATGTTTCTAAGCAACTTATATTAAAATAAGATATACCCGACCTAAGAAATTGTATAGTTAACTTACTTTATGTGATTTGTGTGGGTTTTTGGTATTCTTTTTACTTTGCATGAATAACATGAAGGCAGATAATGGCCGTTTTGGCTTTCCAAGTTCCATAAGTTTCTATCAGAAAAATAAAAGAATGTTATTATTTAAAAATTTTAGTACATATACAATGCATACAAATAATCGATGTCAATACTTGTTTAATTTCACCCTGCTTCAAAGTATGTCCCTTTTTCAATAATTTTATTTCCATCTTCTGTTCATTAGTTAAAGAATTTTCATAATCCATTAATTTCTGTTTATATATAGAAAATTGTTCACGAAATTGCTTCTGCAAATTTTGCTTTATTGTTGGGTCAATTTGTGTCCATTTCTCTGATGCTATTTTCGAAAGTTCCGTTAGTTTGCAATGAGGATACTCTTTTTGCAATTCGTTCCTTACAGAGTTGTAATACAAGATAAATATATTTGGTGGTTTCTTTGGCTTTGGTGGTATAGAATCTTTTTCTACATTCTGTTTTGATTTAAGTGTAGAAAAGTCTTGTGCAGAAGCAAATTCCCTGATAACAAAATTTAATAATTCATTCTTTTCAACATCAATTTTTTACATTTTAATTTATTTATTTATATCAATGATAACTTAAGAGATAAAAAATACGTATTATTATACAAATATTTTAGTTGTCATTTTAACCTATTCTTTTACGCATATTAATCAAAATGTATTAGAGAATAATTATAACAACAGAGAAAGCAAAATTACATGATGATCTTTATATAATGGTAAATTGCTGTAATAATTTCGACGCTGCTGAAATGCTTGATCTTATTTCATATTACATGATTCATAAACATTTAAAACCCATTATTCAGATTTAAATTATCAATTGTAGAAAAGTCAAATAATATTCTTTACCTAATGCAAAAGAAATTTAGTGGATTAAATTGTTTTCTATTAATAGGAGACAGTAATCTCCAGGTTGCCATTATCATGGTACACGTGATTTCGGTATTACAATCAGTCTGAAACAATCTTGAACAACTCTTCTACAGGTATTTCAATATTTTGATAAGAAATAGATAAGAAATGCTTATAGAATAACGAGACACATTCAGAAACATTCAAAGAATCGAAACAAATCGAAATAGGAAACTGTGTTGAGGTTAAAATTTCTCCTTATTAAGGCCCGTCTACAATAGACGGAGTAAGAAGTAAGAGTAAGAAATTGACCAATCACAATCGATTATTCTTCTCACATTCGACTGTGATTGGTCAATTTCTTACTCTTACTTCTTACTCCGTGTATTGTAGACGGGCCTTTAAGGTGCCGTCCTGTGCCGTCCCATACACACGGAATTCACGGAAAACGAATTCGAAAAGGTAAAATCATAAAGGCCGCAGCACACACTCTTGCATAACGCATAATGCATAGTGCATAAAGGAATCAACCAATCAAAATTCTTCTTTTTCATGGAACAAGAGGAAAGGAAAGATTCTGATTAATTGATTCGCTTATGCACTATGCGTTGTGCGTTATGCAAAAGTGTGTGCTGCGGCCTTAAAAATGGTAAGGGCCCAGACACGAGCTTTTGCATAACCCCAGATCTACAATAGTTTTTTAAGCCTTAAGCCATAAGGAATGAACGAATCGCAATCAATTATTCTCCTCGTATTCGAATGTAGTTGGTGAATTTCTTGCGGCTTAAAGCTTAAAACATCTATTGTAGATCCGGACTTACCCCGGATCTACAATAGGTGTTTTAAGCCTTAAGCCGTAAGAAATTGACCAATTACAGTCGAATCCGAGAAGAATAAGCGACTGTGATTCGCCCATTTCTTATGGTTTAAGGCTTAAAACTCTATTGTAGATCCGGACTTACAGTCGAATCCGAGAAGAATAAGCGACTGTGATTCGCCCATTTCTTATGGCTTAAGGCTTAAAACCCTACTGTAGATCCGGGGTAATGGAATCAATCAATCGAAATTCTTCTTTTCCATGGAATGAGAGGAAAGGAAAGCTTCTGATTGTTGATTCGCTTATGCACTATGCGTTATGTGTCATGCAAAAGCTTGTGTCTGGACTCTAAAGGTGTCTTTTCATGCCAAAGAAATAAGTTTGTTCGCGTCGCATGCTCTAACATATGTTGGATTCACACTGCACTGATTTTCGTCGTACGACGCTCTGCAACCAATCAGAAAACAGGATTCGGATGGATTTTGCTTCGTATCATCGGAATCCTGTTTAAAGACCATTCTACATTGGTCGTATTGTAGCGTCGGAATCGTCGGAAGCATCATACAACTTAAAAATTGAAGCATTAGATTGGCTGAAGCAACAAGCTTGTGACTTGCGACGTCTACGATACGACTAATGTAGAATGGCCTTTACGATTGGTTGCAGAGCGTCGTACGACGAAAATCGGATGCAGTGTGAATCCAGCAATACTCTTACTTCCTCCAACTGTAGCTCCTACTCAAGGTGCATTCCGTTTCTCGCATGATGCGCATAATGCATCGTTTATCCTTGTTGCTTACCAAATGTTAAAGCGGGGAGCACAGACTCTTGCATAACGCATAACACATAAGGCATAAGAAATTGAACCAACCAGAGTTCTCTATTATATGGAAGGGAAAGAAACGGAGAACTTCGATTGGTACATATTCTTATGCATTACGTGTTATGCGTTATGCAAGAGTCTGTGCTCCCCGCTTAACCCCGGATCTACAATAGGGTTTTAAGCCTTAAGCCATAAGAAATGGGCGAATCACAGTCGCTTATTCTTCTCGGATTCGACTGTAATTGGTCAGTTTCTTACGGCATAAGGCATAAAACACCTGTTGTAGATCCGGACTAAACAAGGACAATGGATGCATCATGCGGGGGTGATCCCGATTGAACACGTCTCGATTGGACACCACCAATCATAGCGACCGGAGCTTTGTAGTCTCAAGCGCTGTGAGTGGCTCGTGTCCAATTGAGCCGTGTCCAACTGGGTGCCACCCCATCAAGCGCATAATGCGCGATATGGAACGCACCTTCATTCAAACGCGCTCGTTAGTTATTGCTAGAGTCCTAGATTTATCAGAGAGGCGCAACCGGTTTTATACATTTTGATTCGCTGTTGCAATCTGACCAATTGCGTGACTTGGCAGCCATTTATAGTACAAGTGACATATTTCTATTTCATTTTATCCTATACATTCTATCTCACATTATCCTACACCTCTTATCTTGTTCGACATAGTTTAAAGGCAGTTTCATAGCATGTTGGCTATGTTTAAATCTCTCCTTAGCATCTTTGTCATACTGATTTAAGCCGGTTGCGCCTCTCTGATAAATCTAGGACTCTAGACAGGGCCAGTAGAGAGAGTTAAAGACTAAGGGCCCAGACACAAGCTTTTGCATAACGCATAATACATAGTGCATAATGGATTCAACCAATCGAAATTCTTCTTTTCCATGGAATGGGAGGAAAGGAAAAATTCTGATTAGTTGATTCGTTTATGCACTATGCATTATGCTTTATGCAAAAGTCTGTGTCGCGGCCTTAAGTCTGGATTTACAATAGGTGTTTTAAGCCTTAGGCCGTAAGAAATTGACCAATTACAGTCGAATCCGAGAAGAATAAGCGACTGCGATTCGTCCATTTCTTATGGCTTAAGGCTTAAAACCCTATTGTAGATCCGGGGTTATGCAAAAGTCTGTGCTGCGGCCGCGACACAGACTTTTGCATAACGTATAGTGCATAACCGAATCAATTAATCAGAAGCTTTCCTTTCCTCTCATTCCATGGAAAAGAAGAATTTCGATTGGTTGATTCCCTTATGCACTATGCATTAAGCGTTAAGCCCGCAGCACACACTCCTGCATAACGCATAATATATAGTGCATAAGCGAATCAACTAATCAGAATCTTTCCTTTCCTCCCATTCCATGGAAAAGAAGAATTTTGATTGGTTGATTCCTTTATGTACTATGCATTATGCGTTATGCAAGAGCGTGTGCTGCGGCCTTTATGCAAGAGGCTGTGCTGCGGCCATGACCATTAGGGCTCTCACACATGAAATGCATAACGGAACATAAGCATAACATAAGACTGCTGGACCAATGAGTATTTAGCATAATGTCGCCATATTGATTTAATAAGATGCTCATTGGTTTAGCGGCTTTATGTTATGCTTATGCTCTGTTATGGCTCCGGCACACCAGCGCGATGTTCGTCGCGCGCGACACGCGATATCCAATGAGAATATACCTTTAGAATGAGAACATCGGTAAAGCTGTACACTCATTGGATATCGCGTGTCGCGCGCGACGAACATCGCGCTGGTGTGCCGGAGGCATTATGCATATCATGTGTGTGAGCCCTTAGCCTACCGATGTAAACTAGACCATAGGGTGTAGCCATGTTAGCATTGAGCCTTGATTATGATCGGTCTGGTCGGTCATTGTCGGTTAGAATATAAAGAACTTGTGAATTGTTACGTGAGAATTCCAGCATTATTATATACCCTATAAAATATTAATTAAACAAGCTTTAAATATTATAATGAATTAATATCCAGAACTACGACTGTTTTGGACTTTTAAATATCATTTCTATTATCTCTTACACGATCGTATAAATTATAATATGATTTTGGATTCTCTTGCATTAGAATACGCAAGACCTAAATACTGTAAAATTAACAATTTGCATTTGACCGAAGAATTCTGGGCAGCTTTTATAGTTTACGATTTTAATTGGCGAATTTTTCGGAAATTGGGCAATTATTGCTGAACAAAACAAAACAAGTTTTCTGCAATCGCTGTGCGAAGATTTATATCGTAGCTCTGGCCGGAATCTATTTTCTACTTGCTCGTGAAGTTTTAATGGTGAGTATTTTTTTTTTACAAAGTAGCTAAAAAAAATTCGTACAAAAACGTCCCTAGGAAAACATCCTGTCACAATACATTACATTCCAATATTCATTGCCAGTATACTGCAAAACCTATAATTTTACGTTACATGCAGCACATATTTTCAATATTGGTGGAACGCAGCCTTGATTGATTCTTACAATGAGCCAATATAAAATTTCATTTCATTCTTTATTGCAATGCATATACATGCCAGCAGACTATACAATTTCCAGCATTGCAACATACAAACAATCCTACAGGAAAAAAATATTGTATGCCACAAGTATAACAGTGTGATACTACAAGTTTAAATTTTGTATCTATTAATATTCAAAGAGAAACAAAAATTGTTACTTCAGAAAAAAGTGATAGAAAAGAAAATAAAAGATCACTAAAAAGTCAGTAATTTCCAATCATCAAATGTCAAACCATGATTTTAACTGGAAGGAAGTAAAAATATTGGACAGAGAACCATCATATAACAAGAGACTATAATATCTGAGATAGTCTTTCTAAAGAAACAGACACAAGGATTAAATAAACAGAATGACACGGAATCACTTTCCAATGGGTATCTTCCGTTCAGTCATTATCCCTGTCATAATGTCCCCACTCGTTATCCTCTCCTATTACATTTCTCCTTCCTTTGTCGTAATTGCTCTCTCGTTTTCGTTTCTCATTCCAACAACAAAAGTGATACTTAAGTGATAACAGCCAAATTTTATATATGAAAGCTCTGTTTTAAGAGGTCTTATTAATAATGTAATTGTGGACTTTCATAACCAGGTATTACATTATTTTATTAGATACTGATATTGTCACGCAGACTTTTAATTAATTATATCTAGCTTCAAAATTGTAACGTTTCTCTCTATTATTACTGATAGAATTTGCACTCACATAATCAGCACAATAGTATAATAATTAAAGAAGAAAATATAGCAAGCAAATATAAGTAGTATCTACAAATGTTGAAAACTATATTAGTTTTTTTTTAAATGGACAACGCTGCATCACCGATTGACCAACATGATGCGTAAGAAAGAATTGTAAAAAACGGACGTAAAATTTACCGTATTACACTGTAATTTTTGTCACATTAAGAATGACCCGATAATGGGTTGAAAATGTTTTGTCTTATTATTAATTTTAAATATTAAATTGAATTGTTAGCAAGGAACATCCAACAAGGCTTGTTACCCCTATTATTTATTATATTTTAAAAGATGCTAAATCTTTCATGCCAAATGTATGATAAAATGAAAAGAAAATAAATGGTATATAAATTGTTATCAATGTTATCATTACTTTATATTTTTTTATATTAAACATATGAGTAGTTGACTTTTGTGTACATATATTGTTAGTGCGAATGTGCAGGTTTATCTAAAGAAATTTCAATGCGACTACTGATTTTTAAATGTACTAGGCCTTCTACAATAAGCCGCAAGTCAGAAGTTCTAAGCGATCTTAAGTCATAATCGATGAAGTTGGCCAATAGCCAACTTGAACGACTTGGTTAAGGCTGGTTAAGACTTCTGACGTTCTGACTTGCGACTTATTGTATATATATAGAAGGCCTATATTATTTACTTCTAAAGTAAAGGAATTTTTTTACATATGTTCACAAAGCACTATGCAAACATCAAACCACAATATATTTTCTATATAACTTCATATGTATTCAATAAAGTCTAGTAGGACTTTTATTTTTTAAAATCATTAATGTTACATTCACAATAATGATTGTCTCACAATAAAATATAATATTTTCCCAGATGATATTGTTTGTCTTAAATTGTTATAAACATTCAAATTATTTTCGACTTTTTTAAACGAATTTATACAATTGTGTATATATATATATATATACATATATATGTTTAATAATATGATTTTAAATTGAATCACAAAATGTGCTTTGTTATTAATCACAATAAAAGAAATAATAAGAAATAATTTTGTATTAGCTGTTAATATTGAATTTCTGTTAATCTAATTTTTAATTAATATATTTTAGTGAACTTATTTTGTTTTATATTTTCAGCAATGAATCCTATGCGATCGACAACTTTCCGGAGCGGTGAGGAGTCAAGATCAACACGTAATGAAGATCACAATACTTTTACAGTTTTACGTTCAAGAACCGAAGAAGAGGAGCAGAGGCGCAGACGAGAATGGCAACGCCAGCAAGAGCGAGAGAGACAACATGAAAAATTGAAGCAGCAAAAAATTTTAGAATATGAAAGGAACCGTGCACAAGCTTTAAAATATGCTGAGGAAATCACCTCGCATCATAGTCAAAGTAAAAGTGGTAGTGAGTCTCCCTCGCATGTTCGGTACAGAGATAGATCTACATCAACTGCTTCCAAATCTGGTAGCCTTCATGAAGAGTGAGTGTACGATATATACACAATTATATACTTGTATCTTTATTATGGTCCAAGCATTTATTGGTACTTGTTAAAAATAAGGTGACTTGAGAATATATCTAGAAATAATTTCAACGAAATGAATTTAAAAAGTAAAAAAGATAATTAGTATAAAACAATTTATTTTTAGAGAATATTACTTACATAATAGTAAAAATGTATTTATATATTAGAGCAGTGTTATTCCATCGTTTATTGAAGATTGTTTGGCCATTATTGGTTACTTATCACAGAGACACAGACAACAGTAATGATATTTTTTATAATTATTTTTTAAATAGTCAAAAAGACATTTTATTGAGAAAATAGAAAAATAAAAATATTTTTTTTAAACAGGAGCAAAAAAGAACAATTTTTTTTAAAAGGATATATCCAGAATAGAACTATTTTCCTGAAAAAAGGATCTGGTTATTTTAACAGTATAATAATTATAATTAATTTAACATATCAAATTCTCTTTAGATTAGATGGGTCTACAAGTGGAACAGTACCTTTATTTAGAGGTCCTCAGAATGCACAGATTGATACTTCGGAACTACGTCGAATTAAAGTTGATATTCATAGGAATATTCCTGTAAAAGGACCTGTTACCGAATTAGAAAGGGATATACTTAATCCTGAAGATGTGATCGTCAAGAGAAGAGAGGGTAAACTGTTAATTTCTCTATCTTTATGATTTTGTAAAATTCTTATTTTTGCAGAAAATTATTATTTAGCTCTGCAGTAAATGAAGAATTGTTACAGGTAAAGAATTGACTGTATCTGCAATAATAATGATGTATCTCTATTGTATCAATAGCATAAAAGGTTTGATATATAAGCACTAGATTGATGCATCGATAGGTTTATTCTTTACATCTATGAAGACTTTACTATCTAAAAAAATTGATAATGAACTCCCTGAAGACGACAAGCAAGAGAAATACTTGTAATAATGATGAACATTGCAAATCTGATTCAAGACATTTTTCGACACAGGAAGAGTATTTTATCCATTATTTTCAACCTGGGGTTTTTTTCACAAGAGATATAAGGTGTAAAATATATATTGATGCAGGAATTTAGAATGTTTTCCTGAAGGGATATTATGTCACAAATCGAGAAGTATGTTTAACTATAATTAAATAATATTCAAACAGTATCCAAATAATTTAATGCATATTTGATATTCTTGCACCAAGAGATTTGCTTAATGCATATACATTTCAAATATATTATTTGTTTTAACGATAATTCATTTTATTTAGATTTCTAAGCTATATATATATTTTTTTTTATTGAAATATTTAAGCGTTATTTACTTATACTAAAGCTACATTTAATTAAACCTTATTTACTTATGTTTGTACAAAATTTCATTTAACTTAAAACATTGTTTCTATAGGAATATTCCTGTAAAAAGACCGAGCACAAGCGTAGCATGGAGGACAGCGCGTGAGTCTACCATGCTTGGTGACTCGAGTTCGATCCCAGAAATTTTCTCGTGCTCATAGCTCCTCTTCGGCGGTCTTGCAAACCACCAACAATACTTATTGCCAGGAACAAATCCCTTAACATTGCTATTCGGAACCGGCAATAAATTGTAGGTTCCGTATGTCTGTACAACCGCATTCGTACGCACCACGGGCATACGTATGAGAGGTAAGCCAGGTCCCAACTTTTTGAGATGTTGCGTCACTGGAAAATGAGTGAAATGTGAAAAGACCGAATTATGAAGAGATATACTTAATCCTAAAGATGTGATCGTCAAGAGAAGAGAGGATAAACTGTTAATTTCTTTAAAATCTTTGATTCTGTAAAATTCTTATTTTTTGCGTAAAATTATTATTTAACGCTGCAGTAAATGAAGAAATGTGTTACGGATAAACTACTGACAGTGTCTGCAATACTAATGATGTGTCTATTGTATCAATAGCGCAAAAGTTTTGATATGTAAACACTAGATGCATAGGTTTATTCCTTACATTGATGAAGAATTTACTAAAAAAAAAATCGATAATAACTTCATGAAGATGACAAGCAAAAGAAATACTCGTAATAATGATGAACATTGCAAATCTAATTCAAGAAATTTTTCAACATAGAAAGAGTATTTTATCCATTATTTTTTACCAACTTTTTTCACATAAGGTATATATTGATGCAGGAACTTAGAATATTTTTCTGAAGGAATGTTATGTCGCAAATCGAGAATGTTTAACTATAACCAAATAATATTCAAACAATATCCAAATAATTTATTGCATATTTTATACTCTTGCTCAAGGCATGAGTTAAATTTCAAATATAGTATTTGCTCTAACGATAATTAATTTTATTTAGATTTCTAAGTTATATGTTTATTTTTTTAATTGAAACATTTAATTAAGCATTATTTATTTATACTAACATTTAATTACGCCTTATTTACTTCTGTTTGTACAAAATTTCATTGAACTTAAAACGTTGTTTTTATTCTCATTGAATAAATTACATAATTCGAATTATATAATTCACACATTATATTACGTGCATTCCTACGTAAAAAATTGTAAATTTGTAAATATGTTAATAATGATTACGCATTTTTTAATTACTATAAAACTATTCATATATTAATTAAAAAATATTGCTTCACAGAAAATATAATTACACAAATTTTAAAGAGTAAATGATTCAAGTCTGCCTACAATGAAGATAAGATTAAACTTTTCATGATTCACTACAACGAAGAATAGAAAAGGTATATAGGTATATAGGATTAGATATACATAGAAACAGGAAACTCTTTTTAATGATTTGTTTTTAAATTGATTCAATATAGTGAGATAATTTATATAATTTTTAAGTGATTTTTTTATATATGCGAAAAATCTTAAAAATAGTAATTTCTATTATAGCATGATGTAATATTGTTGTTTCACTAATCAGTTTATACAATATTCTTTATTTAATTTGAATTTATATTATTACTTACGATTAAATTGTAAGATGCAGGAAGATACTGCTATTTGCGAATATCCTAATGGAAGATATTTTCTTTCACGAAAGATATTATATTAGTATTATAAAAGAGATACGAAAATGATTAAGGAAAACCTACAATGAAAATAAAGTTACATTTTTTATTAAGAATATTTAAACATAGATATGGAAAAATCTGTTCTTTAATAAACCAATTTTAAAATTAAAGCTTAATATAAAAAAAGCGAAATTTACATAATAATTTAAAAATAGCGTTTCGAATGTATAAAAATTTTTTTAATAATTTTTATTTTAAGTTTAGAATAATGAAAAATTTCGGGAATTTTTTACTTTTATGTTTTTTATGAAATGAATATTTTCTGATAATCTCAAATACGTATTATTTTTCAATATAATTATAATTATAAATATTTAATAACAAATCAAATATGAAACAACGTATGTGATTAACTTTTAGCAATTGTTTTATAATTAGTTTCGGAAGTATATATGTATATGCATATACAGGGTGTTTGAAAAATAATAATAAATCTTTTGCGTAGGGGCAGAATGGACTAAACTGAGAAGAAAACTCCTCTACTATTTTGCAATTTTCGCAATAGTTAACAAGATATTAATTGCTAAAAATTCCCGAAAATTGGTTTTCAAAAATTTTTTACTCAAATACTCAAATACAGACCATTTTTCGGCAACTTTTAGCAATTAATATCTTGTTAACTATTGCGAAAATTGCAAAATAGTAAAGGACTTTTCTTCTCAGTTTAGTCCATTCTGCCCCTATGCGAAAGATTTATCATTATTTTCCAAACATTTTGTATACTTTCATATACTACATATGTTTATATGTTGTAAAATTTTGCTTCACAGAATGTTAGTCTATTAATAACACAAGATGTGGTTGAAGAATGTCTGCAATGAAGATATAATAAAATTGTGCATTACAAGAGAAGAAATAGGTATGGAAGTTTTTTTAATAATAATTTGTTCCTAACATCAAGATTGATTAAGTACACAAGGAATGCACGTAATATGGATATTGTAATTTTAATATTTATTATGTTTTTTGTTATATTAATATAATTACTACAAATAAAAATTTGTATCCTTTGAAGACAGTTTATTTCTATAAATGTAAAAATTTAAATTATAATTTTTGCAATAATATATATGATGTTTATTTATCAGAATTTTTTTCTACATTGATGTTTTTATTCAGTTATTCCACATTTTTTAAACAATTTTAATGAAATTTTTGAAAGAGTTAAAATATAATCACTGAACAAATAAAATTCATAGAATTAAAAGGATAATACTATAATAAAGATTAAAAAAGTATGAAATATACTATGTAAAAGTTATGTATTGAATATTATTAATAAATAATACAATTTTTTTAAATTCTTGCTTGATTATTAAAACATAAATTTTAAGAAATTGATGTAATATTAATTATACGATTGTAAATTATCCCGATATCGTCAACAACGGAAGATATGAAATGTCCTTAGAAGAGTGGTACATTTTTTCGTCGGAAGATGGTTTCCTAGTTATTAAGGATATTGTTACTATTCTTCGCACAAGATTTTACTATCTGTTACATCATTTTTCTTCTTTCATTTCAAATTCTTGCTTAATCATTCAAACATAAATTTTAAGGAATTGATCAAATATTAATTGTACAATTGTAAATTATTTCAATATCGTCAACAATGGAAGATATGAAATGTCCTTAGAAGAGTGATACATTTTTTCGTTGGAAGATGGTTCCCTAGTTATTATGGATATTATTATTCTTCGCACAAGATTTTACTGTCTGTTACATAATTTTTCTGTAGTTAAGCTAAATAATATATGACAAATTACAAGTTTTAATCAAATTTTAAAGGAGCTAGTAAATCATTACGTAAAAAAGTGTTCTTAAAGTTTGTGTTTTTTTTTGTATATTTACAAAATAGTTAATTTAGCAATCTAATATTACATATTACATAATATTACAAGTATAGGTGAATGTTAATTTTATATTTAAAAAGAACGATATATAAATACAAAATGCACATTACTTGATACATTTTAATTTTATACATATATTGTGTATATATATATACACATGTATATATATACATATATATATACATTTCGATGATTTTCAAATATGTTCTGATACATACACACATATGTGCGTGCGTGCGTGCGTGCGTGTGGTCTAAAAAAACCATTCGGTATTTTTCATATGTACACACCATACTGAGTAAAGAAGCCTTAGACTTTATAAATGCTGAATGTTTTTTTAAACATTCTGTATTAGAGGTAGCACGACACTTGGAGAAAGTTTCATGTTGAATTATCTATCACTATTTATCCCAATTTTAGCGATATTTCTCGTTAATAGCAGAGATCTACAATTATTCTCTACAATTATATAGTTCTATAATTATATTTTTAAACAGAATTCTGCATTTTTTATACTATAATAAAATACCAGAATTGAAAATATGGCGTGTTAACTCTGCAAATTTAGCATAGTATTTTCCCTCTAAAGTTTAAAAAAAAGATAAATATTTTCACTTTTAATTGCAAATCCTTTTATTACTACTCTAAACCGTTTCACTTTCATCTAAATACTTTTTCTATTATAAAATAAAAAATAAAAATATTTGGGAATGAGACATAAAATGGCCCACCCTGTGTGAGTGTGTGTATACACAACATATATATATATCTACATATATGTATATATATAAATGCAAAAACGTATAAACCAGCACAACTGGGCGGATCAACGAATTTCGTCGACGCGATAAGACCGCTCAATCTCGACGTTATGATCCGCAGATAAATTGACGAGTGTTCAACAATCCGAATCGTTCCCGCGAGGAGACCACGTGGAAAAAGAGAGTGAGGGGATTGGATCGTTAAAATTGCCATTTCGCTCGTGCGTTCTGTCATAGATTGG